GCGGCGAGAGGCCGCACCCCGCCGCGGTTTAATGAGGGCCCTGCGCTCGCTGCTCTCGCCCCACCGTCCCCGCCCTGCTGGGGTCTCCTCCGGAAATGGGTGGGCGAGGGTGACCTGGAGGGCACTCAGCCCTGTTTTCCTTCGGCAGCCACGCCGCGCCGGCCGCCAGCTTCTGCCGGTAGCAGAGCGGGTGGGCGGCGAGCGCGCGCCGTAGGGCTCGGGGCTGCGCGGGCTGCGACAGGCACCCCGAGGAGCTGCAGGCCGCGCTCGGCCCCGCTGCCTGCGACCGCAGGTGGGACCAGCGGTCTGAGTCCCGGGACTTGATGGCAGCCGGGCGGCTGGCACTGACCGCCGAGGGCTGCAGGGGTGCGCGCGTCATTGTGCGCCCACGGGGAGGGGACTTCTTGTCGGAAGTTGGGCCATAGACTTGGGGCCCCTTGGGCACTCGATGCCGCCGTCCAGCCTTGGGGCGAGTCTCTTCCTTGGAGGTGACGCTGCGGCGAGAGGCGGCGCGAGGCTTTCTTCAGGAGGTGGGTAAGAAGGGGTTTTAAGGCGACTCTACCGCCCAGGGGTTGGAGGACTCCGCGGGCTTCCCGTCGGCTCCGGGAAGGGGTTCGCTCCCAGCCGCTGGGTCTTGAGATCGGCCTCTGGGTGCGGGAGACCCGGGAGGCAGAGAAGGGGCCGGAGGGACGGTAGCGACCGGTGGCTCCGGGCGCCCCCTGGTGGCTCGAGCCGCCACCGCCGCGCGGAGGGTAGGGATTGCGGGACGCTCGGGACGCTGACGCCTGCTCCAAGGTGCCTCTTTCCTGATGCGGGCATGGGATGACCCAGCCGAGCCTCAACAGCCAGCCGCCGCTGAATTTTCCCGAAGAAGGGTGACATCCTTTTTCTCGAGCTCCCCTGCCGACCCCTTTTTCAAAAGCTTGGGTTTTCACATTAATCTATGTCAGTATAAACCAGACTATGTATGGAATTTGTTTTTACAACTCGAGTCTTGTGACTTCTCAAACACTTTCTTGAAGTGTTTTCTCTGGAAACTTGTTTCAAATGAGTGCTGTACGTTTCACAAAGAGGAGTGTTGTTCAGGAGCCAACAGGTGACAGGGTGAAACCTGAGTCTGTGTGTACATTGGAGTCAAGTCTGGCTGCCGTTTCCTTGGGCCGCCGTTGAAAATAGAAATTCAAAAAATCAATAGGCGACCGACTGGAACACGATTTTGAGAAAAGATCTGCGTCCCCCATTATGGAAAATAATGAGTTCATTAGAACAGTGCCTTGCGTTGTCCGCCTCACACCACAACATGCATTTTTGTTTTGTCTTTATATACCGGTTTACAGCCAAATAACCCGACCCCAAAAGCGTAGCTCTGGCATAAGACCATGCTTTGTCATCATGTTTCCTCCTTTTGTTAGGCAGTCTGTCTTACTGTCCTGGAATGTATTTGTGCATGAAATTAGAATGCTTTGAAACCCTGCAGAGTACACATTTCCTCTTGGAAAAATGGATAGTTTCTTGGCAGTCGTATGGTACATACAGGCCACTCAGCTGTTGGAAAAATGTACAAGTTGGATGGAGGTTTACCTGGAAAATATAGAAACTGCCAAAGGGCACATGGCCTAATGCCACTAATTGGCTGGTATGAAGTAGTGTTAGTAAAGAAGAGTTTTGCAAGCAGTGTCTTCAGATACCTTTATTATGTTATTTTAAAAAATTTATATAAAAACATTTTTATTACAGTTACCTTTACAGTTCATTTCAATATAAGTAAAATTGAATTGTGTGCTCTGTTGGCAATGACTTTTCTTTAGCAGACCATAGGCATTGCTTGCTCTTTGGGTGTGTGAAAAGTTTAGAGATGACAGTTTAGTATCTCTTTACTATGAAATTCAAATCTTGATTGTAATCATGTTGACCTATAACTTTTATAGGTCTCAGGCTTTTTTTTTTTAAGTTTTCAGATAATGACACCATAAACAAAGAAATATATATAGTCATAAGGGTTGTGTATTGTATATTGAAAAGAATGAAAGTGTTACAGGTTTCTGTAATACCAAATTAGCCTTTAGTTAAATTTAATTTACCTGTATATTTAGCCTGGAAGAATCAGTAGCTATTGATTGGGTATGTGTGATTTGCATCTTCTTGTTAACAAGCAGTTTAACAAAGAAGTTGTTAAGGGGTTTGTGGTGCGATGGATGGCACTTAGCAGCAGGGGACCCCTAGGGAATGTTAACCCAACTGATTTGTGAATGTTCACAAATAAGTATCTGTTCTGATTTTTGGTGATCAAAGGATTTCTAACTCCCTTAGGCATGTTTACATGAGAAATACTTTTTCATGGAAATCCTACCATGGCAGGGTAGCCCTCACATAGGAACTAGAGTGGGATTCCATTGAGAAAAGTATTTGTAATTAGGGGTGTGACCTTAGACTTCATTTTCAAAGGCAGGCACTGGAAATTATTGTTTTCTATTTGCATGATTTTGATTTGATTTGGTGACTTGGTCCGAGAAAATGACGAATAATGGGAACCATACCAGAACTGATGTACAGTTATCACCTCAACATATATCTGACTGAATTCGTTCTCTTTAACCCCCTCAAACTCTCATTTCCCTTCTGACTTGCCTATGTAGTATTTCCATATTGGTATATCACCTTTCAATCACCTAAGACTCAAAACTTATCTTTGACCCAGTTCGAGTAACACCTTCACATACTATATGTTATCTAACCAGTGATTACTGTGCTTATGTGAGGAATGCCTAAGCCCTCATCCACACCATAATTTTATATACTTTTAGACAAACTTTTTCAAAGAATAGTTGCCTACTTTACAGAATATCAAAAGCAACAAATTTTAAAAGATTTCTGGTTGTGGAGAGAGGGAAAAGGTTACTTAAGAACAGACTGAAGTAGCAGGAATCCAAACATAAGAGCAGGGAGGGGAAGAAAAACCTATGAAAATTTGTCAGTCACCTTAAAGTCATGGATCTTGGACCATAAAGCTCTGGACATCAGCTCTGCATCGTGAGAAAGCCCTCAAACCCCTCATATTCTTGAGAAACTAGGTTCCAAGGTCACACCCAGCTGGATGGCTGGATTAGAACTCCTGTTTCTTGAATCCTGAAGCCAGTGTTTCTTCTACTGTTCATTTTCTACTCAGAATGAGAACACATGATCAGCCAAAACCTAAGTTACATATAATTTACACACACATGCCACCATTAAAGAAAGCAAGGGGATATATAATAAAATTTGGAAACATTCTTACCACAATGGATACTTTTTATTAGAAGTGCTGGTTTTTAGTAGAATAGTTGTGGGTTGCTGTTTTGTTTTTTTTTTAATTTCTCAGAACCATCCACTAATGGACTCTAAGTATAAGGATGTATGATGAATGAATGGAGTGAATGAATCTGGAAAGTAAATTTAATGAAGAACCTCTCATTACATCAATGTATTGGATGAATGACGCCATGCTCTAATTTAGGGATCAAGTGCCACCTTATAGCCAAGCGTTTACTGGATGCTTACCATTGTTGCTCTACTTGAGACTACTGGAAAGACCCTGCCATGCTCCGTAGACCATTATACATGCTGTGTGTGCGTGTGTGTGCATACTTGTGTGCGTACACTGTATATATACTAGTGTCAGACATTTTATGTAGAGACTGGTTAGAAGCTGATTCCAAGGCCAACAATTTGTCAGAATCGTTTGCTCCACAGACAACTAGAGCCTGCTCGAACTCAAAAAAAAAAAAAAAAAATGATGAAACTCACATGTCAGCCTTTGGTCTTTTTTATTAACATGTTGTTCTTATTCCAGATGTCTCTCTGGTCAGCTTCAAGAAAATCTATGTAGTCAGAGTGGAAGTTATGCCAATGGGTAGACGTTAATAGTAACTTCAATTCTTTATATTCAGATAATTTCTTTCTTTAAAAGTCTTATATATCCTGAGACCATCCTTGAAAGGAAAATAGTTGCCATTGTAAAGAACCAGGCCCCCAGGTGTTTGGTAGCTTGTCAAAGGCATGAAGACTTCAGGGCTGAGTTTCCTGAATGCTGATGGCACCAGATTCCATTCCCTAACTATTGCTCTGCCCCTTGGGTCAGATGTTCTCTTGACAATTATATGATGATGGAGAAGTCCTGCATCTGAGAGCAGTTTGTCTTTTTGAGTCTTCTTAAATGGTGAGAAGTAGCTATTTAACTATTTTGAAGGAAGACGTGAGAGAAAGGACAAAAGAAGGAAATGGAATGCTTCCACTTTGTGTTGCGTGGCTGGCATGGAGTAACTCCCAGGATATTCCTAGTCTTTCTGAGACTAAAGTATCTCATCTCTTCACACCCAACCTTGGGCTGCTTTCTCCCCTCCCTTGTGTCCATGCCTTTTCTTTTGTTTGTCATTCATTTCTCTCCTTGACTCTTGTAGTTGGCTTTCAGTCTTCTCTTCAAAGTAGTACTTGCAAGTAACTCATAACCTACTCAAACTTAATTCAAACACCTGTTCTCTGTGCTTGACCTCAGTGCCTTCTTTGATGGTGTTGTTTGATCTTAAAGGTGTTGCTTCCTCTACACATTTCTTTAAATGGTCAGACTCTGTTTGGAACCTGAACAAACCCATCCCTGAAAACCATTTTTACTTTTCCCTGCATTCTGAGACTTATTTACGTCCAGACCATTTCTTTAACAGGAACAGACCTAGCACAGAATTGGTTAGTGCATAATTGTCATTCATGTGGGATTAAGTTCATTTAGCTTATTATAGCATTTCAGGACCAGGATAATAAACCTGCCTCTCAGTAATCACAGAATATTGATGGTTCGAACTATTTTGACTTTTTATTCTATTTATTCTTTTTATTCTATTTATCTCCAGCACTTAACATGATGCCTTGTGCATTGTTTGGGGGTATTTTTTACACAAACATTTTATTAAAAAATATATTTAACTGTGGTTAGGTAAGAGAATGCATAAAATACACAGTCTCAAATGGTTCCCACAAAAGCGTGTATGTGTATGTTCGTGAGGAAGAAGATGATAAAGTAAATGAAGCAAAATGTAAACCATTAGTGAGTCTCAGTAAAGGCTATATAGGAGTTCCTTATTCTTGCACCTTTTTCTGGAGTTTGAAATTACATCAAAATAAAAATTTTCAGATAAATAAAATACAAAATAAACAAAACACAGGGCCATTCTTGTCCATCTAAGTAGTTCTGCAAAAAAATAAAAACCCCCAAACTTGAAAAAATGTTTTAGCCTATATCATAATCCCAACTTTGGATAATTCTGTTTTCATTGTAATTGAGCTCGTTTGTAAACCTTATCTGTATCCCTCTCCCACGTGATAAACCTTAAGAGACAACACCTGGGAATGAAAGTAGTGGAATTTTTCTACTAGATCTGATTCACCTATGGTTTCATGTTTGGCCTAAAAGGTGGTATCTTGGCAGAGACCAAACACAGTCATGTTTATACATCATTAGGGAGAGCCTTCGTCCTGATCCAGAGCATAAGTAATGGCCAGGCTCCCCTTTTTCTGTTGTGCTGTCAAAGCAAATGCCATATAGTAATGTAAATGCCTATGTAAGGGACATTTGTGAGATCATATTTTTACTTACCATTTTATTATTTCAATATTTTTACAAGTGTAAGTCTCAACAGTCAACTGCTTTCATATGAGACAGTGACATACTTAAGAATATACTTTCTGGGTCTGCTGACAGCTACAAGTAGTTTTTAAAAAGAAAAAAAACTTTATAGTTTTTTTGTTATCAGATAAAGAAAAACAGTAGCTAGTGGTAATGTAGCATCTCTTACCACAACTTGGTAAGTAGAGGTCATGCTGTGTAACTTTTTATTTTTTTGGTCAGCTTTGAGAACCTGCTAATAAATGTAATATTTTGTCATTTTAAGTAATTATACTCTGATATAAAGAAAAAAAGAGGCTTTCTCCAAAGAATAAACTCTGAATCAACAACTCATAAGGCCATTGAATTTTGATAAACCTTTTTGACTGTGCTTCTTAAAATGCCTTCTCTGCACAAAGCAGGCTGTCTTCCATCCAGGTCTGTCTGCTCTTTCGTGTGCCTGAGGTCTGGGAGCATGGCTGGTTCACCAAAGAAAAGGGGATTGGCTCAATCAGGTTTCACCCCCAGGAGGCAGTGCAGGATTGTTGGGGTTTAAGATCACTGGCCCAGTCTGCAGCCATGCTACCTTGAACAAGCCGATCCCGTCTGATCTTGGAAACTAAGCAGGGTCTGGCCTGGTTAGTACTTGGATGGGAGACCACCTAGGAAGACCAGGTGCTGTAGGCATAAAAAATAAAGAAAATAAGGCATTGTAAGCTGACAAGGTCCTTGCAATCTGTGAGGTTAGCCAAGGGTTGCCTTGCCTAAAAAATTAAAAAAAAAAAAGATCATAGTCCACTGCTTGTTAACTTACTGATCTTGGGCAGTTGACCTGTGGCAAATCACTCAGGCTGTCTTCTCCTCTGTTAAGCAAGATACACCTTCATTGGGTTGCTTGATATGGTGATTAAAGGCCATAACACCAACAGGTGAAAACCAAAGGAGTATGTTAGCTGTCAGAGTGCCAACATATGAAACCGAAAGCTGTGCCTGTGATAAAAATGACTTTGCCACTCATCTTCTTTCAGTTGTACTAATCAATGAATGACAGTCCTTAGGAGTTTGTGGAAAGGCTGGAAGGAATGTGGGAGTTGGATGCTTGAGTTAGGGCCAGATGACTGGGCAGAGGGGGATGGTGGCCTTTAGTGCTAAAGTTGATTTACCTTGATTAGGATAGTAATTTACTCTACATTTTCCACAAAAGGCTAATCAAGGAATACAGCTGTAGAAATAAGTCAGATCTTTTGCAATCTGCATCTTTGTGCTACATTGGAAAAATCCATGGATTGCCTTAATTTGTGGTGTTTTCTCTTGTTTTATAGTATAGTGACATTTAAGTTTTAGATTCTATTTAATGTTTATGATATTTGTAACTTTATACAGAGTACGTACCTTAGTGTCTCCCTCCTCAGCCAGGTTTGTCAAGGGACAAATATACACGTTTCACGATTCAGATTAAATTTGCATTAAAGGCACCCATTCTCTTGGAGGTTTTTGAGTTACTAATTAAATTCTTAACCTCTAATTCTCTTCCTTTGACATGTGGGAGGTTTGGTTTTGTTTTTGTGTTTTAAAACAAAAGGGAAAGACTAGATCCCAGAAATTTTCTGACTTTCATTAACACATCTGTTTTTTTAGCGAGTAAGAGGAATGCACCTATGTTTAGAAAGCCTTTCGTAAGTCAAGACATGAATGAATTGCACCTGTGTGAAATGATAACTTGTTTAAATGGTCATAACCTCCCAATGGTAGTGTAGGAAGTGAGGTCATCTTTACTTTTTGTTCAGGGTGAATGAAAGTTAAATTTATTAGTTGGAATAATATCTACTGTGTGGTATTGCTCCTACTGCTAGTAGAGACTGTAGTTATTGGATGTTTGGCCTACCATTTGTGAACTGTTATAACTTTTTTTTTTGTCCTGTAACTTATAAAAGAAAAGCCATAAGTTTTAATAATCATAGGTTTTAATAGGTAGCTTTTTCTAATACTCAGGTATTTAGAATTGCATTTAGATAGTCACTGAGAAATGACTTAGTCTCAGGCTGAAAGGTTTTTTTCTACTTGTTTAAGCAAGCAAGAAAATTTTTTAAGACAAGTGTTTTTGGAAGTCTGATGTGTCAGGCACATAGTGTGGATTCTGGCTTTTAGCTGTGTGACTTTGGGCAGGTCACTTAACTTCTCTGAGCCTTTTCTCTAAAAATTGGTTTGCTTACTTGTCTATAATTTTCTTTTTTTGGTGGAGGGAAAGGGGTGAGTATAGAAAGCTGCATCTGAATCTGGAAGTTTTGTATCTTTGTTTCTTCTTAGGGCCTTGGGATGAGGGGTGATTTTTAAAAATCAGAAGAAACCTCCAAGAACATAAGATGGCAATAACAAAGTTCCTGGGTTGTAGGGCAGAGACTATTAATCTTGACAGCTTTATAACCCTTCATCTGAGGAGTCTTCTCATTCAGAGCCAGATTTCTATCTTACTTTGCCCAATTGCAGGCTGAGAGCATGTCACACACAGTAGGTACTGCATAATATATCAATGAACGCCTGCTAATAATGTAAATCAACACTAAATTGTATTTTATTTTAACTTAGTGCTTGGATTCAATCACTTTTTGTTGAAGGAACTCATCCATAACATCTGACTGACTTTAGCCCATAGATAGTAAAGGCTTGTAGATTTAATGTGCTGTGTAAGGATTTAACTGCTATTTCTACTCAATGAGTAAATTAAATTTAGTGTCTCTCAAAACTTTATTAGAAACTTGAAACGTAAGCATTTTGGCCCAGTGGACCCATTCTGTGCAGGCAGCGGTGCCTCAGTTGGGAAAATCGACTAGCGAATGTGGGGAGCTGAGTCAGGTCGCTGGAGCCTTTTTCATGGTACATAGTTGTGGGCAAGGCAGGAGGAGGTGCAATCCCAAACTTGCCTTTCTTCAACTCATAGGACTTCACAGAGAAAGTTAGGAAGTCAGCAAAGCAAATTTTTTGAGAAACTTTCCAATGGATAATTGTATAGAGAAGCACCTTTTAAAGACAGCTATAACTAAAGTAGTTTTGGTAACATTTTTCTGAATTACTCAGCTGGTAACGGAGCTATTTCTAAATTGTGTAGCCCTAGATTTTTAAGTTTCATGGGGTCTGGGGGTTGAGGGTGGCGACACTAGTAATTTGGGTACTTTCTCTGGTCCCAGCTGTGTGTAAACAAGAGTTCAATAAAAGCTCCTGGAGGGTATGAGTGATGCCTTCAGGCTTTTGATTTGTTTTTGCTTCTGTTGTCCACAGCAGCCATTGTTTGATGTCCTGTGACTGAGAAAACCGGCTTTTTAACTTTATTATGCCTTTGGAGATGGAGCCCAAAATGAGCAAACTCGCCTTCGGGTGCCAGAGAAGTTCCACATCAGACGATGATTCTGGCTGCGCATTGGAGGAGTATGCCTGGGTCCCCCCAGGCCTTAGACCAGAGCAGGTAGAAACCTAATCCCACGTGTGCTGTTTTTCAATGAGATTTAAGATTTTTAAAGAATTTAAAAAAAAAAATCTGTAGAACATTACTGCCATACTGCCATGCTATCCACCTCGTCCTCTCTTCTTTGGATAGTGTTACATTTTTGCTTTTTAAGGTCACAGTTTCTCAATGAAAGTTTTCAGTCCTTTTTGTAGTCTTGGATCCAGACGCCCTATATGGATTTATTTCCCTTTAATGAATGAAATACAGAGTACTGCATATACATTTGTTATGTGGATTTCTGACAAGTCCCTTAGGAGAGAATGAGAGGAATTTAACCTTTTTAAAAACTTCAGTAACAACAAAAAGATAATAAAAGAGGAAAGTTTCCATGCCATTTCTCAGCAATACTTTTGCTTTGGAAGAGAGGAAATACAGAGCTGTAAGAAACCATCTGAAGTGTTACTGCTTAGACATTTGACCTTTGATAACTTTGCACGAAAAGAATCTGTCACCACACAGTGTGGATTGGGAAGAAAATTAAAGAGCTAATTTTGTGCTTTGTTTATATTCTTACTTTAAGGAAGATGAGAGCTTTCCATATGCCTATTTTTATTTTCCTAATATCTTTATGATGATGAACTTGTGAAAAATTGCTCGTGATAGATATTATGTATAAGGGCCAAGGCATAGTTTGGCATAAAAGGGTGTGTGGTTGCTTCTGGTACGGTTGTTCCCTGTATAACGGGAACTCTTTTCACCATAGGGGCTCCTTATTCACCCAGAGCCCTTCTTCAGCACAGGACCTGGCATCCATGTAGCTGGTATTCAGTCAGTGTTTGTAACAGTCAAAGCTTCCATAGCTGATATGGTGAGGAGAGGTTGCAGTGCTGGTGTACCTGTTAGGAAAGCGATATTTTGACAAAACTAATAGAGAACCCCTTCTTGCAGCTTATGGTGGGGTAGGTTTTGTGAGAGACGAAGATGTGGAAGCAGACAGGACCCAAGTTCCCTAATCTTCTATCTTTTTTCCTTGAATCACTTTTACTCCTTCTCAGCACTGCAGTATCCTTTGCAGTACTCATTAAGGGATGTTCCTTTAAATATAACAGAAAAAAATAAAATAAAAATTGAGTTCCTTCAAAATGTACTTCCATTAACACATGTGTACCAGGTATCGCTCAATATGGCTCCCTTCCAGTTTCTTTGGGGAAATCGACTCCAGGTATTTAGAAAATAGCACCGCGGAAGCAAAGAAAGCTGACGCTTGGAGAGAACCTGATAAGGGGAGAGTTTACAAAGTTTAACAGAACAGCGTTTGTCTTTGTAACGTGTAAAATTCAGATAGCAAATTCAGCGTGTTTGTGAAGTGGCCGGATTTTGGACAGTGTCACACAGCCTGTGTGGCCATTTGCAGCATTTATCCAGGACTCTTCAGAGATTGGCTGAGGAATAGTGGCATTATATGTGCATATTTTATGACGTGTAATTTATGATGCCCCTTATTGTCACTACAAATTACATTCCTGAAGAGCAATTTAGCAGCTGGATGCTAGCTATCTGAAGGTTCACAGTTGTGCTGAATTGGCTCAGCTGGTCTTCTCATTAGCTACAAGAGGCCAAACCCTATACCTAAAGGAAACCGTAACATTTTAAGATGGAATAAGCTAAGATGTTCACTTGCTGTATGCTGATGTCCCTCTCTCTGTCTCTTTCTCAGATCCAGCTCTATTTTGCTTGCTTACCAGAGGAAAAGGTTCCTTATGTTAATAGCCCTGGAGAGAAACATCGAATTAAACAGCTTTTGTACCAGTTGCCACCACATGATAATGAGGTAAAATAACAGGAGGCTAAAAAAATAAACACCAAGCATTGAGATGCCTCTCATAAAACCCTAGTTTCTCACTGGCTATGGCTCTCTTTTGCTTTTCTTCAGTTAAAATTTGGCTGGAGAATACAGCTTTCCATTCTTTAAGAGAGAAAAGGGTGTCAGTACAATAAACTTAACACAAGTTGGTTTTTATTGTGTTTGCAGCCACCCACCAATCACTGGGAGCCTGCAGATTCCTAAGCTTGCCTTGCCCCTTCATCCAGACTCAATGCTTTATGGTAGCTCAGGCCTGCAGTTGAGTGCCTGTAGAATATAGAGTGAAAGTGGCAATTAACAAGTTTAAACTTTTCGTAGAAAGGTTAATGTCTTACATTTTTTTAGTGTCTGCTGATAGAGCTTAACTTAAACATTTCATATTTGAAAGAAACGACTGTTCCTTTAAATTGCATTTCCCTTTTGCTAGAGAGGCTCTAAGACCTGGGGTCATTTTACATGTATGGTGCCATTTTTAAGTTGGGGAGTCATGGGGGCGGGCCATCTAAACGTGCTGTTTTCTTTCCTGAAACTCTAACTCTGAACATGAAGAACGGGTGAGGGAGACTCTGTGTGCCAGTGTGCTTCTGTTTTCCTTTCTGTGAAGGTGCGGTATTGCCAGTCTTTGAGCGAAGAAGAGAAAAAAGAGCTGCAGGTGTTCAGTGCTCAGCGGAAGAAAGAAGCCCTCGGAAGAGGAACGATTAAACTTTTGTCCAGAGCAGTAATACACGCCGTGTGTGAGCAGGTAGCTCTTTCTAGAATGAGTGGCTCGTGGTGGTGATGCGGATGGAGTGAGCTGGGGGATAAGTGACAGGGCTAGCATAGGCACGGACCCCAAAGCCTCCAAAAACTAAGAGAAAGAAAGGCAGCCTAGCTTTTTATTAAATGGTGGTTAATGTTTATAACTGGCTACACTGCTGTGTATGACAGGGGGAGTCAGTCTGCCCTTATGTAAACATCAGGCGAAATCCTGCCTTTCCTAGGATCCTGGCATGGAGGGAGGTGCTAGGGTACACCTAGTGTTCAAAAAATGCAGAGACATAATGAAGACATTCAGATCCGTACTGGCTGTTCGCAGAGTAGGAAATGTATCCAGCAGGAGGCTGGCTCAGGAAAACTACTCTTAATGTGAATCAGATGAAAGCATCCTTAGAAACAGTCTAGTGTGGAAGTCTATGCGAGGCATGTTCATTTCAGTTGAGAATCACACATAATCCAGCATTAAAGAGCTACTTAATCACTAACAGGAGAGGAAAAAACAAAAGTTTTCCTGACAAATTTGGGATTCAGTGTCAAGTAGGAAAGGCTGAGAATCCAGTCATTAAAGAAGGATCATTTTAAATTCAAATCCTTTTGTTTTTAGTGTGGGTTGAAGATAAATGGAGGTGAAATCGCAGTGTTTGCCTCGCGCGCAGGCCCGGGAATATGCTGGCACCCATCCTGTTTTGTCTGCTTCACATGTAACGAGCTGCTGGTCGACCTCATCTATTTTTATCAGGATGGAAAAATTCACTGTGGCAGGCACCATGCTGAACTGCTCAAACCACGGTGTTCAGCATGTGATGAGGTAAAAAAGTTCATCCCTTAACACTGGAAAAAAATAAGCTTCTAATAAGCCAATATTCCACTGTTCACATCTAAGCAAAATAGAACTATCTCCTGCTTTTGCTCCGTTTGTATATTTTTAAGATAACCCTGTGTATTCATACAATGGAATGTTAGCTATATATCATATAGCTAATAAAGAGAAGGCAGCAAGGGTTTTTGTGTATTGATAAGTAAGATGTCCTTGATGGACTGTGACAAAAAAACAAGTTGCAAGAAATGAATGTAGATGATCTTATTTTTTGTTAAATAAAGGGAACAAACCAAGATTGTATACAAATCTGTATACACTCCGAAATGGTATAGAAAGAAATACATTGTTAACAGTGGTTACCCATGGAGTATGTGGGAAGGGATGGTGATGTGAAAGGAAATTTTTTCCCTTAAGATATTTATTTAAAAGTATTTTAGATTCACAGAAGAGTTGGAGCTATTACAGATAGCTCCTATAAATACCTCTCCCAGCTTCCCCTATTGTTAACATCTTTACATAATCATGGTATATGCATTAAAACTAGTAAGTTAACATTGGCATCATACCATTAACTGAACTATAGACTTTATTCACATTTCCACAGTTTTTCTACTAATGTCTTCTATTCCAAGATCCATTCCAGGGTACCTCATTGCATTTATTCTTTTTTTCTCCTTAAATCTTTTCAATGATGTGCTCTTTGAAATGTTTTTGAAATCAAAAATATAAAAAATTAGGTCTTGAACCTAGAGATGGCCACCAGATCAAACAAAGCAGTATCGACACAGGTGCTGTTCACACAGTCCAGCATCAGGATAGCTGTAACTGTGTTGACTCTACAGACATCTTTATACGTTTCCTGTTAAAACATAGGCCACTAAATTATTTCAGTGTCAGTGTATTCTTAGCTAGATTATGCCCCCAAAGTAGGATTAGGGAGCAAAAATAATGACCAAATGAATAATCTCCAAGGTAGAAATCTGTTTTGGGATTTTGTTTTTTTGGTACTTTAAAAAAATTTTTCAATTACAGTTGACATTCAATATTATATTAGTCTCAGGTGTGCAACAATGTCTGACATTTATAAGGTTTAAACAAGGACTTAGTCTGTCTTCACATTTCCAATATCTGCTGTTGTTTCATAGCTAAATCGAGTTAGATTTAAGCTTGAGGCTATGGGAAACGAGGTTAGCTCTGTGAGTGACTTGGCCTCTAAAATAGCTCACAATGATTTTCTGTCATCCTGTGGTTTCATATTCTTTTTAAAGATAATTTTTGCTGATGAGTGCACAGAAGCCGAGGGTCGCCATTGGCACATGAAACACTTCTGCTGCCTTGAGTGTGAAACGGTCCTAGGAGGACAGAGGTATATCATGAAGGATGGCCGCCCATTCTGCTGTGGCTGTTTTGAGTCTCTCTACGCCGAGTACTGTGAAACCTGTGGGGAGCATATTGGTAAGTCCATAGCCCGGCCTTTCTGCTCTGTCACATTCTCATTAGTCTGTGATTATCCAGTATTTTTTTAATTGAGGTATAATTCACATATAGTGAAATGTACAGATCTTAAATATTTCAGTTCTATGAGTTTCGACAAATGGA